GCTGAACCCTGCCACTACAGGCCCTCTGCTGGCCAGCCCAACTCTAAGGGGCACGAGATTTGAAGAAACAGCACTCAGCCCCGCAGCGCCACCAACCCAACACTGAACCAAAGAGCCGTGCCCACGGGTGGCACCGGCAGCCCAGCCAGCCCCAGGCGGGACAAGCGGCAGACAGACCCCACTGCACCATGGTTTCTGCGCAGAGAGGCAGCTCCTCCAGGGGAAGCCGGCATACGCGGCAGGAGTAAGCCTGGACGCCGCCCGCCGGAAGCACACCAGCTCTCGGAGGTCAGCAACGAAGCACTCACATGCCGCAGGGCCCCACCACTGGAGTCCTGCCGACCACACCACTGTTACCCTCCTTCCTGGGGCAGAGAGGAAGCGCCGCAGAGTCAGCTGCAACTCGTAGAAGTGCTACAGCTGAGACGAGGTGTGGTGCACCCGTCGTGAGACCACGGGCCTTCACAGAGGCCACGGCGCACTTTTGCGTAGAAAAAAAGCCAATAATCATGGCATAGCGTTCCTTGGAGAGGAGTGGGAGCCGCGGGGTGTGACTGCGTGGACACGTACCCAGCGAGGGGCCAGGCGCAGGCTGCGGCGGCCTTGCGGGACTACAGTGGGTCTCTCCCACTTCTCTTCAGGGATAATTTTCTTTCTTTCCTTTCCTTCCCCACCCCCCGGGTTTTTGCCATAGGGTACGTGCACTAGGTAGAGACAGACAGAGGAAGAGCGAGCAGTCTCCCCAGGGGGATGCCACACCGCAACCCCTTCTCCATCCCCCCGGGGTCTCGGGCGGGCCACACACACGTGCCTGACGTGACATCGAAGCAGCCGGGTTGGGGCTCAAACTGCGACTGGCCCGGTGTGAGTCCAGCAGCTTACTCATCATGCCCCGATGGCATATTCTCTAAGTATGCTCTTCTGGTGGAAAAATAGACAGACCGGCCGGTGGCACGGTAGTTACCCTGCTGAATCCCACTGGCTGGCTACACGGATTGAATTCTGAACCTGGAAGCTTGAAAAACACACTCGTGTGTGCGTGCCCCAAACCCCTAGAGGAGAATGGAGAAGGGATTGTGGTGTGGCCAGCCCCCCACCCCAGGGGGCGATTTCTCACTCTCCCTCTCTCTCTCTGTCCATCTCTCTCTGGCAAGTGCACGTGCCTTATGGCAAATTTTAAAATAGCAAAACCCAGACTTTATTTTAATAAAATATCCTGATGGAATTTCAACAGACATAGGACCCAAGGAAGAGGCGAGCTCCCCTGGCTGGCGGCCTTTCTCTAGAGGGTGCTAACAGAAAGGATAAGAGGGTCTGTCTTCCCTCCCTCTGCCCCTTCCCACGCCAGGACGCACTGGGCCATGGTCCTACAGAGCCCGTGGCCTGACCCCATGCCCTCCTGACTTCCTCCCGGGGGCAGTGCGGCTGGTCCGCTGAGGGGCACCCATGGGCACAACAGGGCCGCTCGGCAGGTGGCTCTCCTCCATCAGAGGAAGGGTCACCTGGGCCGAGCCAGGGCGGCGCCCCACACACCATGCACCCGCTGCACACGCGTCTATGCAGCCGAGACCGAGAGCCACACGACAGGCCTGGGGACCAGGACGGGGTGGGGCAGGGCCCGGAAGGCAGGGGCTGCCTGGAAGACGGGGTGCCTGGTCCCCCCAAACTCCCGTGGGGTAGAAGGCGAGGGCCCCAGAGTTGCCCCCTCCGGTTGACCTGCTCCTGCTCACGTGGTCGGGTGAGTCGGCCTCGTTTTGCTCACTAGTACCCACTCCATTCTGACACACCTGCACACGCACATGCACACGTGAAACCACGTCCATAAATACTAACCTCCTGCGTGAATGTGTTCACCCGCAGCCCCAGCTCGCTGGCTGGGTCCTGGCTCCCTGGCAGGACAGTCCTGCCTGTGGGTCGCTGCAGGGCCCCACACACCTCGACGAGCTCGTCACTCCATGTGTCCTCACGGGCGGAGCGATGCCGTGAACCCTCACACACACGTGCCGGGGTGCGGAGTGCTGCCCTTACCTGACCAACTCGTAGGTCTCTCCCAGCAGCGGGTTGAATGGCTTGCCGGTCCTCTCCCACTGCGAAGCCACGGCCGAGACCGCGAAGGCGGCCACAGACTGCGAAGGCGGGGACAGGGAGAGCGTGTCAGCACAGTGCAGGGTGGCCCGGCATCTGGCGGCGCTCAGGTGCAGTCACCCTCTGGCCACGCTCCCTTCCCAGTACTAGCGTGTCTGAGAGCACAAGACTCCGGGGTGTGCCGCAGGGCGCCCTGTGCTCAGAGCCACAGAAGGGAACCAGCCTCCCCGTAGGTGGTGACCACGTCCACGCAGGTCTCACAAGTGCACACGCACACGCACACACCACCTCACCACCTGGGGGCTGAGAGCCAGGCCCGGCAGAGCATGGAGATGCGGTGTGCACGGCGCTGGGTGAGGCCACCCCAGGCCCTCCAGCTGGAGACGCCCGGCTGGCAGCACAGGCGAGTCGGGCTGGCACCGCACTGCCTACCTGCATCCGCTCCAGGGGCTGGGCCTGGCGGGAGGCTCTGTGGATGAGGTACACGTGCTCCATGTACTCCGTGATCCGCTGCAGGAAGCTCAGGGGCTCGTTGAAGGCGATAGGCATTGTGATCTTGGACAGCTCCTGGAAGAGCCACGGAGACAGCCGGTTACCACCTGCCACCCTGGGCTCCTGACCTCCCACGCGGAACGAGGGCTCACTTCCCCTGTGGCGAGCTGTTGCCACCCTCCGGCCCGCTCCTGCCGCAGGAGCCTCAGCTGCCACCTGGAACCTGACACCCAGCCAAAGGGGTCTGCCTGCCTGCCTTCCTTCCTTCCTTCCTTCCTTCCATCCTTCCTTCCTTCCTTCCTGCCTTCCAGAGGTTTTTGCTATAGGTCATGTGCACTCCCCAGACAGAGAGAGAGAGACAGAAAGCGAGAAATCACCCCCCAGGGGGGATGGCCACATTGCAATCCCTTCTCCTCCATCGTCCTCTCGGGATCCTGGGCACACATGCACACACGCCTTGTGTGAGCTTAAGCTACCGGGTCCAGGACTCGAACCACAGTCGACTACATGGGAGTCCAGTGACACAGCCATTATGCCACCTGCTGGTCCCACCAAAGGGGTCTTTCCACAAGGGCTCCTGAACCCTCCTATGGCCCGGGTTCACTGTTCTATCCCAGACCAAGTCACTGCTGGGACCATGGCAGGGGCTTCCACCCGAACCTTCAGTCCTCCTTCCCCGTGTGTGTTCTCTGCACCATGTCCACACTGGTGTCCCCAAGAGGAGCTCCCCATGTCACCCCGAAAGGCCCAGCTGCACTGGTGCACGCTGGACACTGCCACCTGGCAGGGTGGGGCCGTGTTGCAAGACCCAGGTTCGCTCCCAGCCCGCCCTTGACGCTAGGCACAGAGGCACACGCTCGCGGTCCCAGATACTCGGGACCAACACAGAAAGGCCCCGGGCAGCTGTGTGTGACCACGACACCGCACTATGGAAAGAATCGACTTTAAAAGGGGAGGGACTCTCTTGTTTCCTAAGGAAACGAGAAGCCAACTCATGCGGCCCATTCCCGAGACACAGAGACGGCACGGGGAAGTCCTCGTGGTACTGCGGGGAAGAGGCCACGGGCCAGGCCAGGCAGGGGCGGGCTTCTGAGAATATGCTCGCCTGGCGAATTTGACTTAGGACCCCTAATTCAAACACAATGCAACTAAGAAAGCGCCCTCTACACATCAAAACGGAACCGAGAACCTCACAGTTCCCTCCTCCCGCGGTGGGGAAGAGCTGATGGCAGACACGCTGAGTGCAGGTGTCCCTGAGGACGAGGACGGCAGTGCCCACCACCCTGTACTGCCCCCGACGTGCATGCAGGGCCGAACAGGTGGGCCCCTGTGCTCAACCACGCCAGCTCCCCGCTGCCCTCAAACGCTGGGACTGCAGCGAGGTGACACGGAATGGGGTCGGAGGGGTGCGGGTGGAGCCGGTCCCGATTTGAAGCAGAACAACCCAGACTGCCCCTAGCTGCCCCTGGGCGGCTCCCACAGAGCCAGCAGGCCCGGCTTCTCTCTGCCCTCACAGACTGCAAGACACACCCACAGCGTGTCAGGGCTGCGGGGGGTGGGGGGGGCAGTTGGGACCCCAGGACGTTAGCAGCGATGTCCTCTCTTAAGTAGGGTGGGGTGTGGCTGTCACAAAGGAACCCTCATCCTTAGAGACACTAGGGACATGCCAGTGAGCCGCGGGCCCCCAGGACGTTAGCAGCGATGTCCTCTCTTAAGTAGGGTGGGGTGTGGCTGTCACAAAGGAACCCTCATCCTTAGAGACACTAGGGACATGCCAGTGAGCCGCGGCCTCCAATCAGCTGGCCTGCACGGGCGGGGGCGGGGGGGGG